ACATTTGCATTTAGGACACAATTTTATATTTTTTTAGTTCTATTAGTTTATTAACATTACAAAAATGAAAGAAAATAACAAAAAATGGTTCCTTTTGCATTCTTACTTTTAATTTTCAAATTTGTCTTAGGTTTATTTGAAATTAGGAGTTAGTTAATTCTTGAAAATTAATTAGTTTAGTATTAGAATTAAATCAGGTCTTTTATTTTAATTTGTATTTAACAAAAATCAAAAAAAAAAGGGAGAAAAAATAGACTGGCCGGCATTGGGCCAGTGATTAAATAATTCACCAGCCCAATCTCAAAACCTCTTCACAAACCCAAAATGCCATATACCCGGTCCTGACCCCCCCCCCCTAGCAAAACGACGTAGTTTGGTTTAAATCTAATCTCAGTCGGTGGTTCTTTTGATCCAACGATTGAGAACTGCCTAGGTTTTTTAATATATATATGTCGGATTACCCCCCCCCCCCAAGGTCATCTCTCCTACTCTCTAACACTGAAGCGTAACGCCACCCTCCTCCGCCTGGAACCGCCGCCGGAAATCGCCTCACGGCGGCGGCCGGCCTCCATTTTCGACCAAAATTACACCCCTTGTTCCTCTCCTTCTCCTCTTTCCGAATCTGCACTCCATGTCCCTCGAATCCCTTCAAATTCTTCGAATCTTGAATAAAAGATCCTGACCCAAAACCCTAACTCATCAAATGGCCTCCAAATTTACACCAAGACCTCCTCTCTTCCTCCTCATCACGATCCCTTCATTGTCCCACTCAAATCCCACTGGAATTCCTCAAAATTTCAAAACCCTAGCCGCCGCCTTTGTTCTCTGGTGGCGGCTCCGCCTCCAAACCCAACTAAACCTACACCCTAGACTCACCTTAACCCCCTCTTCCCAAACCCTAAGCCGGATTCCTTCAAGGCTAGTTAAAATTATTTGAATCCCGAATCAAGGGTTTGAGTCCAAGTCTGAGTCGAAGACTCGAAGGTTATCAGTATTCAAATGGTTCCAAAAAATGATATTATGTGTTTGTTTTGGCAAAGAACAAACATATAATATTATTTTTGGGGCCAAATTCAAAGTCAATTCAGCTAGGGTTAAATCAGTAAGTTTCTTCTTCTTATTTGATTATATTTTTTCCGTTTGTTGATTCTGTTTGGTTTTGTGGATTTTGTTGTGATTTTTCTGTTAGTCAATACAGTGTTTAGTTCCTGTTCTTTGATTTTCGCTTTTAATGATTAGTTTAGTTTAACTTTTAGTTAATTGTTAGGATTTCTAAGAGTTGTTTGGATATAGCTGAAAATTTCCAGCATTGGTGAGTAATTAATCATGGTCGTTTGACCAAGCTTAAGAGGACTAGGGTTAGTAGTATAGAGTAGTAACTTTAGACTTAGTTCAAGGGCAATTTGGACACTTCAAAGAGAAAGAATCTTGTAGTAACAGATTAGGAACACCCTAGACTCTTCTAGAATAGGGCTTTAGTGTAAATTTCAGTAGTTTAGTGCAGTGACTTGAGAAACAAGTCAAAACTTTAGCACTAATGAGTAAATTCTGAAAATAAAAAGGAGTGAAAATGAGTGAAGGAATTCCAGAACCTTCCTGCCCCTTTCCTGCCTATAAAAGGCATGCCTAGTGCCTTAGTTCACAAGTTTTTGAACAATCTGAAAAATCCCCAAAAAAGTTTCAGAATCTAAAATTCCCAAAAAACTCCTCCTGCAAGCTAGAGCATCCAGATTTAAATTGCAAATAAAAAGAATTTCAAAATCATGAACTCTTATAGTTTAAATTTCTCTTAGATTATAATCCCTTCAAAAACCAAAAACAAAAAGTAAATACAGCAGAAAAACTCAAAAAAATACTGTTACATTGCATCTCTTTCTTAGATTAAGTGGAAGTTCAAATGTGATTTGGAGTTCCAGTGTTCCTGAGTCAAGTTCGAGTTATATTGAGTATATTCAAGCTGTTTTTTGGGTGATTTATTGTTTGGAGTTGGTACTGGGTCAATTGATTTGCTGATGTGAATTGTTATTTGCTCCTGCTAGTCACTCGAATTGCTACTGACTCTGATCTTCTTTTCTGCTTCATTATATTCCAGGTACACACTTGAATTAACTTTGATGTAGCCTTGAATTGAAAGATGAAATAAAAGTATTCAAGCCTCAGCTTCCAGCTCTGTGTTCATTTAGTTTATTATATATTTGTAGTTAAAATAGATACTAGTTGATGTGTATTTGCTTAGTATAGCTTAGCTTCGATTTGTATTAACTTAGACTATGGACTGTACAATTAGGACTGTTTTTTTTGGATTGTTAATAGACTGTTGGATTGTTGAACTTTCAGTCAGTCATTAACCTTAGTAATTTCATTTTGGTGATTAGTTTAATCATTAGCCGTGGTGATAAAATGAAACTGATTCTAGATCTTCATTTGTAGTTAATCATCGGACATTCGAATTATTGTGAATAGTTAGCAAATGTCAGCTGTGGTATGAATTAATTCAGATTTGTTAAGTTACCGATTAGAAAATTGATTTTAAACTGGGCTGCATGCTTATTAGTGTAGAATCAGGCGTTTTTTTTGGCTTAAATTACACTGGATACTTCGTTGTTCATTTACAGACCCGACTTCATACATAAAATCATTATAATGTATTGATTTAAACTGATTTGGCCTTGGAATCTCTAGTTCAACACATTTGGTTAATTGTGTGAGTTGCATATCCATGTCATAACTGGTTTCGAAGTTATTTGATAAAAATCAACATCTGGAATTTAAATCAGCCTTCTATTCGAGCTGTTGTGAATTAAAATTAACAGTTGAAGATCCATACATGGGTCAATATTTGGTTGTGGGTTCATGAAGGCCAAAACCCAGCAGCTTCCTATTTGAATAAGTTTGGGCCTAAAATTTGTTGTCTAAATGCTCAAATATGAAAATCTGATCATGTTTCCACCTTACTGGACTGACTTTGGAGGCCCAAAGAATGCTGAAGACTTAAAGTCATTTTAGAGCTATGGGATCAATTTATGATATAGGCTTTGGGCCTTCTAGTTAAGTAGCATGCTTGAACTAGAG